AGAATCCGCTATTGCACATGTGAGAGAGAGAGAGAGAGAGAGAGAGAGAGAGAGATTTAATCATTTCCATCTATACTTGGTTTTTGCATATAACAAGGAAGTTGAGGGTAAAATTTCAAAGAAAAAGGTTGTTGATGCATGCTTGTCGGCTAGACTTGATTAAACATAATAACCCATGTATATATTGTGAACTGATATGTTAATCAGATAATTCAATTTGTGATTAGTCCAGACTGATATTTCTTTCTTTGATGATGGTAATGTTGGTGATAATGTAGACTCTTCAGACGACTATAATAAAAAGTAACTTGAATCCAGTCTGGAATGAGGAACTCATGCTGTCTGTTCCTCAGCAATATGGAGCTTTACAGTTGGTACGCATATCTATGTCTTTCCGTTACAGATACTATATGCCAAAGATCAGGAAACTCCCATGTGTGTCATTTTACTCTGCCTTTTTCTCATGTAATACTGAATGTTTCCGGTTGCCACATTGCAGCAGGTGTTTGATCATGACACATTCTCGGCTGATGACATAATGGGAGAAGCAGAGGTTGATCTTCAGCCCTTGATAACATCTGCAATGGCATTTGGGGATGCAGGAATGTTTGGGAACATGCAAATTGGAAAATGGCTGAAGTCAAATGACAATGCCCTCATAGACGATAGCACCGTTAACATTGTTGATGGGAAGGTAAAACAGGAGGTGTCACTCAAGCTCCAGAATGTGGAATGTGGAGAAATAGATTTAGAACTAGAGTGGATGCCTCTTGATCAATAGGTAAATAATTTATTTATTCTTCCCATTTTATTTTTAATAAGAATCTGTAATTTTTGGTTGAGTTACTTGTATGGAATGGCACCATACACTTGTCTCCATTCTTTTGTATTTGTTTATAGAAATTCCAGTTTTCTCTCTTATTTGTGAATCGTTTGACAAAAACCAGAGCATGAGCGCCTATTCACATTGGTCTTTTTTTCTCTCTTTATTTTTTTTTTCTTTTGATACAAGCGATAATCTACTTTAATCTAATCTAAATTACGGGGAGGGGGATTCGAACTCGGATGCAGACTTGGCTAAGCACATTCTCTCGTTTTTTTTGTTTGTGTGTAAATATTCACATTGGTTTGCCTTAATCCACACTGATTGTCTTGTAGTTTTATGGTTGTAGAAGAAAGATGTAGGGTTTTTCGGTTTTCCTTTTTTGGGTGATATTTATTTGTAATGAAGGTTCAGAGTTACCCTTATCCCAATTCCGAACCATAGGACGAAAAGGAAAAAGAAAAGAAGGGTATTGTGGCACAGCCGCACAAGTTGAACCAAATCTTTGATCTATTCAAGCTGCTTTATTCAACCGAAAGCAACGGCCATGGTAAGTTGAAATTGTGTGGCAGTTTGATTGGGGAAATAAGAAAAAAGATATAAGAATCCAATTCTTTTTCAAATATTCGACGCAATTAACCATTTTATTTGGTTCTTCATCATTATGATTTATAAGCTAAGGACCCCATCATCATCAAATTCATGGCAGGTTATTATTAAGTCCATATTGAGTTTTCTCATTTGCAGTGGTTCAGACGCTAACTCAAGTCAACAATGTG